ACTTTGTCTTCCATATTCAACGTGTTTATATATGTTTCAGTCTGTTTACGAAACCAAAAATGTACATATTTTCATGTGTTTATTCAAACATAAGCACAGAAATATATGTGTGTATGTATAGTAATATAGTGATAAAGATGTAGTTATTTTTTGGACTTTATTTTTGGATTTACGAGACACTTGGCGTCATGATCCTGTCTTGTAAGCCATTGACATGGGTTCAGATCCTGAAGAGGGTCTCTGTGAATATAGTCTTCAGACAAAATTGGCGTATTCTAACGACCATCAATTCATGACACTCACAGTAAGGAACGGAATCATTGTCAATGGTTCGCGAACCAAGCATCTTAATTCTGACATTTCTTCAAATGCTCTTTCGTTACACTCACTTCCTCCACTCTCTGTAATATATAGCTATGGTGACAAAAGGCATTCGCTACTTAGTTTAGGGGATTTTCAAAATAAATAAATAAATAAAAAACTGTTGCTGTGCAGGTGGCCCCAGCACAATAAAACAAGAGAAAAGCCACGGAACAAGGAAGAAGACCATGATATATAGTATCTGGCTTATATTTAGAAACGCTGAAAGGCCATCATATGCTCATTTTTATGGTAGAGTGCGAATAGAGGCATCTGTGAAGACGATGAGAATAAAAATATGCATGCGCTTATAGAGATAAAAAATTGCAGTATTTACAAAACAAATATATAAATATGTAATCGAGAATTCATGACGGTAAATAAGCATTAGCGCTAAACAAAAAAAAACAAAAAAACAGGAATTCCTCTCAGGTTTCCTCCTCCTTCCACTACTCTTAATCTTCCAGTAACCTACATATATAGTGGCCTTTGGTCTGAATAGTACATTTAGGGCTTAAAACTGACACACGCACACAAGCGAACACACACATTAATTCAAATGTTATTATTAGTGGATACTCGTATTTGAAATAGACGCCCTATTTTTTTTTTTTTTTTACTTTAAACAGCGCGTATTACGTCTATCGGCTTGCGCATTCGAGAGTAAGTGATTAAAAAGTGTCGGGTTAAAAATAAAACGTAATAAAAAATATCGGATTAAATATAAATCTATTGATTCTTTAGAAATATATGTACACACACACACACACACACACTATATATATATATATATATATATATATATATATATATATATATACGCTTTTAAAAAGTTCGTTTTCTATCAGTTTGTTTTAAGAAAGAGCTATCAATACAGATTTCACCCGCCATCTGCAATAGCGTAAATCGAAGCAACAGTTGCTATTAATTTCTATTGGGAAATGTTTTTGAGTTCCCACATGGAAAAATAAGCTTCTATATCTTATATTTCGGAGGTTGATGCTTACCGTCTTCTCTGACACTGGAAGACTTCAGATGCGGCAGTCGGCTTGAATAATTTGCTTTAGGCATTTTCGCTATAATATTCTGCCTTAAGCCTCCGCACCCTTTAAAAATGAGAGTTTATATATATATATATATATATATATATATATATATATATATATATATATACATTTTCAGAACTGTCAATCTTGTAGACATGTAAAGGTTAATGGTAATTGCTTCATTTTACACCATTTCGGCTTATGAAAGATTTCATAGGAACATTCTACATTCGGATAGCGGGGAAAACGTGTGTACACGAACACTGAAGGCGTGTCGGTGTCTTATATCCTTTAATTGTGGTGATTTGCGATTGTTGTCAGGATAATTAAGAAAAACAAGTTGTTCAATTTTTAGTAATATTTTTTCTTAAACCCCACCACTCAAATTTTCTCGCAAAACAGAGAGACCAGAAAAAAAAAGCAGACCCACATTCGAAATAAAGCAATGAAGGTTTTGACATCTCCAGCGATTAAATCTGTTGGCAAATTTGTCAGTGTCAGAAACGTTTGCTCGAAGAGGGAGTGGGGGTGCTTTCTTTTGCTAAATGGCCTATTCCCGTAATCCAATCCGAATAAAACCTGCTACTTTTACGTCTGCAATGATTGAAGCAATGGAGTTTCCAGCTGGAAACAACCTGACTGCTGAAAAAAATAAATAAATGAATAAAATTTTGAAATAATCATCAGCTTTATGGCTGCCTTTTCATGGAGCCTTCTTCCCCATAATTTGATCTTTTTGCTTATTTTATTTTTTGCTTATTTTATTTTTTGCTTATTTTATTTTTTGCTTATTCTCGTGGGGTTTTTTTTATGTTTTTTTTTTTTTTTTTTTTGCACTTAAAAAAAAGAGAATTTTATTATTGTTTTTCGCAAGCTTTGCATTTTGCATCCATTTTTATGTTCTTAATTTTATATCTAGTTTGTTTGGTTTCTTTTTATTTGTCCCTTTTGCCTTCGTCGGGTTATTTTATTTTATTAATCTTTATTTTTGTCAAAAATTTTACTGTCTAATTTTTTTGATCTTAATTTATTTTTATTTATTGTTACTTTTTCATTCTTGGATTGTTTTATTCGTTTATTTATTTCCCAGATTTTGAACTTTTTGCGTTATTTCCTCTATTAATGGCCGCCAACCGATTTTTGTGACTATGGTCATTAATGGATTATAGTTAGAAGCCTAATACCGGATTTTACTGTGGTCATTAATAGTTAGAAGCCCAATAATTAATATCGGATTTTACTGTGGTCATTAATAGTTAGAAGCCCAATAATTAATATCGGATTTTACTGTAGTCATTAATGTGTTATATAGTTAGAAGCCCAATAATTAATATCGGATTTTACTGTAGTCATTAATGTGTTATAGTTAGAAGCCCAATAATTAATATCGGATTTTACTGTAATCATTAATGTGTTATATAGTTAGAAGCCCAATAATTAATATCGGATTCTACTGTGGTCATTAATGAGTTATAGTGTTAGAAGCCTAATACTTAATACCGGTTTTGATTGTGATAATTAATGAGTTAAAAGATTTTTCATATTTTCTCTTTCTTGTGTTCATACACAGACATACACATAAAACGTGTGTGTGTGCGATTTTATATATGAATATATATTCGCTTAGCAGACTTAACATCTGAGATTTACATTTTGTGTTCTTTTACTAAAAGCAAAAAACTAAAGTTCCTATAAACAATTTTATGGTGTGAAATGTAGTGTTGATCATCTTTTAGTCACATGTGAGAAGGTTTTCGCTTCAAAAAGTTGTTCATTTTTTTATTTTTTATTTATTTTTTTTTTTTTTTAGATCTCTGATCTAGAACGCAGTCATTTAAGCAGTAATTATCTAGAGAGGCTCGAAAGCAGCTTTCAGGAAAAGTTAGTTCAAATTTCAATCGACTCCACACTAACGCAGTGCTAATTCCTTAGGGAAACATACCAATCTAATTGTCCCTGTACAGAGTACCCAATCGCCTGTCATTGGGAACATTGTGTTGTCATTTGCGAACAAGAGAAGCGGTTACTGCGCAAATCTCTTTCGTCATCATGCATCTAATTCTGTCTTGTAAGAGTAAAGAGTGACAACGTGCGAGCCAAAACATGACGATTTACGAGACCATCGACATTGTAGAAGAGCGCCTTACTAAAAAAAAGCAAGCTATTCGCAGAGACCAAATACTACAGTAATGAGTACTATCCTCAAGCACTTGAAACGGTGCTCCTCACTAATCTAATTGAGAATTACTATCGATATTGAAGGTTTTAATAATTAAAAAAAAATCATCAAACTACCTGCAATATTTTGACTAGAGTTCACTTTCCTGAGTTTAGAAGCGTTTACACGGCCTTATGGGTGATTAATTATTTCCCACCCTACAACCCATTTCCCACTGACGAAACGTTGCTAGCATCTCGATAACCTATCGCTATTTCCATGGCAAATGTTCAGGGGGAACTATAATGCTCCAGAAGTTCAGACCTTCAGAGTTAGGACGCTCATGGCACGTACACGGAGTCGAATCAGCCTCCTTCCCTTTGTATTCCATTGGTAAAGAGGAAGTTCCCCAGAATCAGTCAAGTTCGTGAGTCCTAAATACCCCTGATATGAAGGTATGAACCCATCTTTTCTCCCTCAGTTATGGGTTAAATAGTAGGGTTTGTAATTGGAAAAATTATTCTTATCTCCCCAAAAGTTCTCAATGCAATATTCTCTTGCATAAAAAGAATTATTCTTACAATCTAAAGTAAATTTTGGCTTTAAATAACCCACAAAATGTTGATAAGCTGTAAAAAAATAAGTCAATCTGCCCCAGAACTGTTACTTTGTGAGAAAAACTCCTAAAAGAATGTTTTCGCAATCTTAACCCCTTTACGTCTAGAGGTAACCGTTATCTATCCTTCATATCCCCAAAATAAAAACTTCCTCCTTTTACGCCTTAACAACAACCTTATAACCCTCTACCTTGAGTGGCTCTTAGATCTCGTATTTGGCAAACAATAGTATAAAACAATTAGTCTATTTACTCTATGAAGGTAAGCGACAATTTGCTAAGAGCGTAATAAGGAGGTTACCGTTTAAAAAAATTGAAACAGTGAAAATAAAAATCCGGAAAATTTTTTCGGTCAGTTGCAACTTATTCGTAAAACTAAAAATAATTGAAGGGATAAGAAATTTTGTGTAGGTAACGTGCACTGTTTCTTATGATTATCAAGAAAAGTTTCATGTTAAACTTTCTTGATGGACGAGTTTGAGATGACCCAATTTCGTTTAAAAATGTTTTCTTAAATTCTTGACTTACCCATCTTACTTTCACTTGGTTGTAATTTGTCGGTTGACCTTTCGGTAATATAATTACGATGTAATTGGACAAAAGAGAAGATTTATCATGTTTGGCAGGAGAAATCATGAGGATCTCTTTGCTCCTTATCATAACAAACCGAGGACAGTTTTTGTCTCAAACCTTTAGAGAAACGAGCAGGTTAAATGTTAGAAAGTCTTCTGGTGTATTTGTATCAGAAGAATCCTTTTAGCCATACTAATATTTTCTTTATATTTTTCTAAACTTTTTTACTCTCTCTCTCTCTCCTTAGCGTTTCTGTCACTCACTGTTTTACTACCTCTTCCCCACTGCTTTTATTTCCCTCTCTCCCTCTCCTTTATCTTCCCCTCTCCCTCTCCACTGTTTCCTCTCCCCCTACTTTTCTCTCTCCCCACTACCTTTTCTCTCTCCCCACTGCCTTTTTCTCTCTCCCCACTGCCTTTTTCTCTCTCCCCACTGCCTTTTTTCTCTCTCTCCCCCCCCTGCCTTTTTCTCTCTCCCCCCCCACTGCTTTTTCTCTCTCCCCCCACTGCTTTTCTCTCTCTCCCCCCACTGCTTTTTTTCTCTCTCTCTCCCCCACTGCTTTTCTCTCTCTCTCCCCCACTGCTTTTTCTCTCTCCCCCCCCACTGCTTTTTTCTCTCTCTCTCTCTACCCCACTGCTTTTTCTATCTCTCTCTCTCCCCCACGGCTTTTTATCTCTCTCTCCCCACTGCTTTTCTCTCTCTCTCCCCACTGCTTTTCCTCTCTCTCCCCACCCCTTTTCCTTTCCTCTCTCTCCCCCACTGCTTTCTCTCTCTCTCTCCCCCACTGCTTTTCCTCTCTCTCCCCCACTGCTTTTCCTCTCTCCTCCCCACTGCTTTTCCTCTCTCTATCCTTCTCCCACTGTTTCCCCCTCTCTTTCTCTCTCCACTGCCACTGCCTTTCTCTTTCCCTCTCTCCCTCCTCCACTGCTTTTCGTTCTCTTCTGTTTTCCTTCACTTTATCCTCCACTGTTGTCCCTTCTCCCTGTCTCCCCACTTTTTCTCCCTTCCCCCCTCATTTCCCTCTCTATCACCCCTTTCTACCTCTACTTCTTTCTCTCTACACCCCACTAATTCTATGTCTCTATTTCTTTCTCTCTCCTTCCTGTTGTCTTTGCCTTGTTATTTTCGTATCTTTTTTTTCCCCCGCCTCTATAGCCACGCTTATCTGCTGGGAACTTCTCGGTTGAGATTTATTTAAAAGATTTCATGAAACATTCCCAGCTGCTTTTTACCGAAGTTCAACTAGTTCTGAAATTTTGTTTAATCTTACTCTTCGCACACATTCTTAAATCATTTCGTTCAGATGAAAATGTAACATCCTCCATCTTGGGTAAACCTAGTTCCACAAAACTTCGATTCGATTCTCTCTCTATCTTTCTCTCTCTGGTGGGCTAGAATGTGAACAATTCATGTTTATAGCAAATTCAAGGAACAAACTCTGATTTTATTCCTATACATTTGTGAAATCCTTAATAGATGGTTAGAAACCTCTTTATACAAACAAGCATTTGACACTTACAGGACATAACGAAGGCAAGAGGGTCGGAGGAAAACAACAAGTAACCAAACTAACAAATGAATGGCGGAACAAAAAGTGTGAGGTAAAAAGATAAACATCGCTAAGCTACAAAGAATAAGTAGTTTAGACCATCATGATTGCCCATGTCTTGAAAGGACTCAGGATATGCAAGAAATAAGAATGTCCTCAGAAATAGAAAAGGATAGATATCACCATATTTGCAATCTCTTTGTTTTTCTCCTGCATTATCTGGCTGAAAATAACTGAAAGAACAAGGAAGATGGTACAAGCCTTGCAAAAATTATTAAGGCTGCAATTAACTGGAATGTTTGATGCAGAAATAAATGCAGAAGAGTTGATCTGCAATGTTTGTTGTCTTACAGTTTTGGCTATGAAAAATATAATTTATGGTCATTTATTTTAAGAATATTAGAGTTAAAATTATTACTTGCATTTTTCCCTGTATATTCTGCCGGATGATATGCAAGTAGTGTAATGGTTAGAGGCTCAGAACAAGAAATCCGTGATCCGAGTTCGAATTCTCACCAAAATCATTACATTTATTTTTGCATAAATACCCTTAGAAAAAGTATGAATCCATCTCTTCTTCTCATCCCCCAGATATGGGTTAAATTGCAGGACTGAACTCTCTAGTTGTGATTGGCTACCAACCAGTATAAGAGAACAACTACTCCTAATTCAAAACTAAAGTCCATTCAGCATAGTTGTAGTAAAAGTCATAGGCTGGGTCGGTGCCTGTTAAAAACACAAATGGGCCTTAACAGATGTGCATTCTGAAGATGAGAAATCACACTAACTTGCAGAAATGACAAGTTTTAATAAGTTAGTGAGGTCAACCTATATTTTTTCAATTTCTTTATTAACTATCTTTTATTAAACTATATCCACTTATTATGACCCTTGCAACTTAATTTCATATATATATATATATATATACATACATACACACGTGTGTGTGTGTGAATAAAAAGACAAGAAAAAAATATTCTTAGACGTGTTTTGTTCTTTAAGGCAACTGTTGGCCACCTATGACACACGTGCCATGCCAAGCAATTTTCAATGGCACGCAGCTGCAAATGATACCACAAAAAACCGAACCAATAACTACTACAACGAAAAAATAAATAACTATTTCAATTTTAATATATATTAAAGTATATATACTATATACTACTATATAAAATATATTGTAGAACAGGTCTATTGACCTTGACTTGTGTTGTGATGAGATAACCCAACTTCCCCATTCACGATAATGGACGGTCTGGTGGCCGATAAAGTATGACCACAGGCAACAGTAGAAAAAAAAAGGTCTTCGTTTACTAACACCATGGCGGTTAGCTTACTCCTGACTCTGTCTCTGTATTTTGACATACCTACATCCGATTATAAAATTATTATTGAAAACCACACTCTGGTTTACTTTGTTTATTATATCTTGCACGAGATATAACAACTTGTATAAAAATACGTATGCTGTAGGCACACTAAACGATTTCAAAATCCTAAGTTGGCATATAGTTAGCAAATGGTTGCCAACCACTGCTCTAAGGGACTTCATCAAGGCAAATATAAAGATTTATTTTGTTGCATATGTTTATATACAAGATCAAGGATTTAAAATTTTAATAAGGAAAAATTAGTCAAAATAGGAAAATAATAAAGACGTTTCCTGAAATAAGCATTTATTCTTAAGACATTATATTGTATATTTAAGTGATAGTTTTCATTTCAAGGGAATTATGAAGTTTCATTTTCTTTAATACCTGTAAACTGTGCCTTACCATTTTAGACTACTGGGAAAGACAATGGAATGGTTTCCTATTGTCTTCTCCACAGTATTTAAACACAGCATTGTCATTCTTCTAAACTGAATCCCAATCCAGATTTAAGAGATCAATATACTCTTCTGTGTAACACATAGGAGAAAGAAAATATATATTCATCCTTTTCCCAAGGGCATTAATGCAAAGTGGACATAAACTATCTAGATCAGAATTTGAACTTAATTCTCCAATTCTGTTTTCCATTTTGTTAACCATTGGCAAAGAATTTGTGCATGTGTTTACCCCCACACCACCACCACCACCACCAACAACAACAACTCTCGATTTTCATTCATCTTAAATAACCAGTTTGAAATTTAATTTTAATCCTAAAATTTTGCAAACAAATAAGGTGCGGCACATGTTGTTTAAATTTTTAGTTTTTAATTGTTACCACTTTGGCACTTATTAATATTTTCTCCACACACCCCACATTCTCATTTGGGTGAGAGGAATATTCTCATGTTAAGAAAATGATTATATGAAGAATAACTTAATTAGCTAATTGTGCTTCAAGCAAATGTTTCAAAGACATTAAAACTGGGCTTTCATTTGTTGCAAAGGTTTATTTACCACTAACAACTGGTGTTGATGGATTATAATTCTTAAAGAGAGGTAAGTAGTGTTGCGTTTTTTAGTACCTATATATTGTAAACTATTTATTAACCATTAACAAATAGCATTTGGGTTTATGCATGTGAAACTTGTTAAATCAGCTGTTTTTCAGAAAATCCGGCTCTGAAACAATTTGAATTTACATCTTGTAAAAATAAAGTCATTGTTAAATATTTGTTTTCGTATGTTTATACAATTATAAGCATACTGGTCTGCAAATTTGAACACACACACACACACACATATATATATATATATATAGGCTGCAGAATTTAAGTGAAACAAGACAAGGTTGGTCTGCTTAAATTTTTATTACATTTTGCCACTTTGCATATAAGTTGTTGTATATCCGGACGAAATTTATGGAAGAACGGCCTGTTTCTGTTTCATTTACTTTCAACTATATCTTGTCATTATCAAGAACGTGAATGTTATTTGTGCCATAGAGAAAAGTTTTTATTAGCTTCATCTTGGCATTTTACAAACACTACATTTCTAATTTAATACAGGTGTGTTTTATACAAGTGATGTTTATGTAGGACAGTTTCTAATTTAATGTAAAAAGGATATATAAATCACTAAAAAAAAAATTAATTTGTTAGAAGTCAGAAAAATATAAAAGAACAAAGATATTGCATTTTTTTAAACACATTTAAAATACCCCCTCCCCCGTGTTTACAAATTATATGTTCAAATTTTTATGATAACTGAATATTTGGAGATTTTCTGTACCGTGAGTGCTGTGTGGTATTTTATTTCAACATTATTTGTCTTATGTCAGTCATGCTTTAGCTTTAGTTGTTTGTGATGTGATGTTCGATATGTTTACAAAATGACACCAAGTTTTGATAAGTTGCAAGTTAACTTACAAGAGAGTATGGTGGTTGTATGATCAATGTAAATATTTGAGTTTTTTGGGAGGTGGGGGGTTATTACTATTGGAGATGCAAAGTTATGAAAATTGATGAACAACATTGTTTTTACATAAGAGAGAATTTTGAGGTCAGTGACAATGACTAGGTTCGATGTTTTAAACTATTTTGTAATCATACTTATTATAAAACCCAGGTTGTGTGTGTGTGTGTACGTTTATATATTGGATCGGATTTCCTACATTTTTCAACCAATTTCAACAAAACTTAACAGGACTACGTAAAATTACCTTGCGATGGTTCTGACAGCGCCAAAAATGGGAAAACACAATTGTTTTTGCATGAAATCAATTTGAAAACACGATTAAAAGGTATCGCGAGAATGAAAGGGGGACAACTCATATCGAGTTATACTTATAAAACCCAGGTTGTGTGTGTGTGTGTGTGTGTGTGTGTGTGTGTGTGTTCGTTCGTTTATATATGGGATCGGATTTCCTACATTTTTCAACCGATTTCAACAAAACTTCCCTTTTTTTGTCAGGTAGTGTTTCTTATTGTCTTGCTCACTTTTGTCTTTATTTTTACATTCAGAATGCTTTAAAAATTCCATTTACAAGACAATTGTTTATAATAAAATTCTATTCAATCGGTAGACTCATAACGATTGAAAACAATGTTTTTCTTTGAGTTTGGGTTTGACTAATTCGTAAAAAAAAACTAAAAAAAAAAAAAAATTAATTAAGACATGTGTGTCCGTCAACCTTAAACAATAATCTTTGTCAATTTTATTTTTCAGTCTTTATGATGGTCGATACTTGATCTATCTTTTACTGTTACATCCCCGGGCAATGCCGGGCTCTACTGCTAGTTAATAATAAATTTTAAGTATTTATTGTAATCATTATATGTACCAGCGAATGAATTTCTTTGTCATCTTGTTTATAGTCAGGGTGCATTTGGTTATGATAGAATAATGATGCCTTTATTATTGTTTATAGCAGGATTGTAGTTTGTGATATTTTTTTCCTAATTTTTCTTAATCTAATTTTATTTTCTTCTCAATAATATAGTTTTTTTGTGAACTGTAGTTAATAAAAAAAAAAAAAAAATTATACAGACTTTAGCCAGAATATTTGAATAAAATGTTTCTGAGATGATATTGTAAGTGTAATTTTTGCAATTTCCTTCGTAAATTTAATTCATCTCTTTTTCTCTCACTCTCTGGGGATTTAATTTTAAATGGCTGTTTTGCATGCATATAAATACATACATACATACACACACACACACACTACAGATCTGACAACTGCTTTTTTCATTAACTTTCTTTCTCTCCTTCTATCTCATGTTAATTCTTCCCCCTCTCTCTTCACTTTATTGGATTCTCCACTCTCTTTTTTCTTTTCTCTATTTTCCTCTCTCTTTTTTCTTTTCTCTATTTTCCTCTCTCTTTTTTCTTTTCTCTATTTTCCTCTCTCTTTTTTCTTTTCTCTATTTTCCTCTCTTTTTTCTTTTCTCTATTTTCCTCTCTCTTTTTTCTTTTCTCTATTTTCCTCTCTCTTTTTTTTTCTCTATTTTCCTCTTTTTTTTTTCTCTATTTTCCTCTCTCTTTTTTTTCTCTGTTTTCCTCTCTTTTTTTTTTCTCTTTTTTCCTCTCTCTTTTTTCTTTTCTCTATTTTCCTCTCTCTTTTTTCTTTTCTCTATTTTCCTCTCTCTTTTTTCTTTTCTCTGTTTTCCTCTCTCTTTTTTCTTTTCTCTGTTTTCCTCTCTCTTTTTTCTTTTCTCTGTTTTCCTCTCTCTTTTTTCTTTTCTCTGTTTTCCTCTCTCTTTTTTCTTTTCTCTGTTTTCCTCTCTCTTTTTTCTTTTCTCTGTTTTCCTCTCTCTTTTATTCTTTTCTCTGTTTTCCTCTCTCTTTGATTCTTGCTCTGATTTTTACCTCTCATTTCTCTCTGAATCCATCTCTCTTTTTCTCTTTCACATTCTACCTTGTTTTCTTTCTTTCTTTTTCTCTCTCTATCTCATTTCACTGCGCTTCTTTTTGTCTCTGAATCCACCTCTTTTTCTTTTCTCTCTCTCTCTCATTCCATCCCTTCCCTTCTCTTTTCTTTCCTTTTTGTCTCATTCTACCCCTCTTTTATCTTTCTCTGTCTCATTTTAGCTCTCTCCTTTTCTACCTCTCTCTCTGTCTCATTCTACCTTTCTTTTTTCTTCCCTCTCTATCTCATTCAACCTCTCTTTTTCTTTTCCCTCTATCTCATTCTACCTCTCTCTCCCCTACCTCTCTAAGATTCCACTAAACTCTCTCTTTTTTGAGAAGAAAGTATACTAATCTCTTTCTTTTTTTTCTTTTTTTTTCTCTTGTTCAATAATGTACATATTGGATTGTCACTGCTTTTGTCTGATGTGTGACCTTTTAGATCTGAGCACAACTTAATGAAACCTTGTTAAAATATCACAATAATGTCTAGCCATGATTTTCTCCATATTGTGTGCTGTTTAGTGTATACCCCTTGGTGAGAGAGTTGAAATAGGTGGGGAAATAATTGTTACTTTTAGATATACTATCTTACCACATATCCTCCCATTGTGACAGACAACCTTTCATTGCTTGACATATATAAGTAGACAACATCTCTCTGGTTGGGAGGTAGGGTTTTTAGCCAAAAAAAAAAGACACTTCTAATGAGAAGAAATCAGAAAAATAAAAATGTTATTTCCTTTGCTGAATGATGGAATTCTTATTACACTTAATGTGGTGTCTTTCACAAAACTCTCTTATATCAAATTGTATTATTACTTAACAAGAAATAACTTGAAACCATTTTCTATTGTTCAGTATTCCCAGCAATTGTTAAATATGTAGATGTTGATAGCTGAGCCAGCAGGCCACCAAGGGTTTCATGATTATCACTTGGAGTATATATAGTAACTGGACCAGGATTTGTCCAGTATTGTATGGAAGTCTTTTCAACACTTTCATCTGTTAAATGGCAATTTCTAAATTTGATTCTAGTCAGATAAATATCAAAAACATTCATAAACTATTGTCTTAATTTTTTAATTATCTGGCCTCTTCATCCAGTCTGCTGGGGAGGAAGTAATAATTGAAAATCAGTTTCTTTTATTTTTCACTTTTTGATGACCATTCACTTGTAATTAGCTGTTCATGTAACCTCTGATAGCATGAATAGGTTTTATTAAGCAAATGTATCCAAACTTCCATTCATTCTAATGTTATATAAATAGAAATGTATATATTATTTTTTACCTTCATTTTATTTTTATATTTTGATGGAATACTCCATTATCTTGCCAGCAGTCTATAAATAAATAAATTTTAGATGGTTTGTCTTTAATTTGTACCTGAAAATTGCTATAAGCCTGAAACTCTAAGTAGTATAAAGTAGTGAGGAACAAATACATAATTATTTTTAGTGTATGTATATATATGTGTGTGTGTGTGTGTGTGTATATATATATATATATATATATATATATATATATATATATATATATATATATATATATATAAAAACAAAGATTGCTTTTGCCAAGAATTTGTCAAATGGGTTCTTTCTGGAATGTTTTATAGTAATCAGTTATTGTGGGATAGAACATGAATATAATTATGGTAAAGAACTAGGATTTTTACTTATCTCTCCTTGAGTTTCAAAGATTCTGAAAGACACTCATCAGGAGAAAAAAGTAGTTTTTATTTAATTAATTAATTAATAATTTTAATTATATATGCGAATATCAGTGTATCACTGTGTCACACTGTTTCAGTTTTACTCCTAGAGGCCGTGGCCCAACAATTCATACCATTTTCGGAATCAGGCTGACTCCGTGAGCAAATTAAAACATTCTGGGCTGAATCTGGACCGGCAATCCTGAAATTTTACATTCCCATTTTTTCATTACTGCAATTGTTTTTTCTGCAATTTTTTTTAACATGAATTTTTGCAACAAATTTTTTTGTACAATAATTTTTATAACTTTGAAATAAATTTGGGAATAATCAAAATTAATTGCAAAATCCAGCAAAAGTTACCCATGAAATAAAAATAATTGTTTGTATGGAAATTAAGGACCTACATATATCAAATTGTCTTGAAATTAAGTGGCAGCAAAAGAATTATCATTGAACTTTTAAAAGGTAAGCTTAAATATTAAGGCAATACTTAAATTCAGTGATCAATTTTGAGTTCTTCTGTAGTTTATTGTTGCTTATTACATCTACTCCTCCCTATCTATTGTGATGTAGGCCCAATCAAGGGCACTCCAGTGGAGCTAGCTTAAATGCTGCCCAATAGGCTGATTTTTAAGCTAGTATTTATATATATATATATATATATATATATATATATATATATATGGCCTGACAATTGTGTTTAAGCATGAAACAGACTGTCGCCACTGGCTGTTGACCACACTGTCTCTTATATATATATACACACACACACAATTCTGCTAATAGAAAAAATAATAAAACAATAATCATTGTTGCCTTCTCTCCCTGAATATTTGGGCAAGATTTTCACAATTTGTGTTGTTGCAAACTGTCTTTACCACTAATCAAACACTTCCCTGATTAATTTCAGCCATTTTCTGCATAAATAAATTCAATATTTTTAGCATTTAGACTGTAACAAAAATTGATCACTGAACACTGATTTTATATTGTATAAGACAAAAGACATTGATGGTGGCCATAAATTCATATAAATACCATTGACAGAACTCTTCTATAATATTTTTTATCATGTAAATGCCTCAATAATGTTTTTATTAAGGAAGGCATTGCAAATAGTTCTACAATAGAAATGTATTGTAAGTGATTTTTCTAATAGAAATGACATTGCATGTCACAAAAAAAAAGAGGTTGTCAGTGGTCAGAAATTAAGGCAATCATTGGCAATAAAAAAGACTTCTATTCATAAGTGTATTCAAATGAATAATATTTATCCAAGTATCTTTTTAGAAATAAATTAAAATGAAAAATCATCATAAGCTTCAAATAATTTAAATGTTTTCCTATTAAAAAAATCCTTACCAAAGGTAATGGAACTAGCAATAATAAAAAAATTAATATTGCTGACTATACAGGGAAATTTTGTGACATTCCAAATGTTGTACAGTTTTTTAAAAGTAGACCATGTAAAAAAAAGAAATGTTTATCTCAGGGATAATAAAAATGAAGCAATTTTGATAGGTGAAAAATGACATTTGTAAGTTTCTCTTTTTCTCTTTTTAGTTTAAGTGTATTTTCTAGGTTAAAATGTCTGGATAATCATAAACATTGGATAAATTGTTTCTGCTCTGCTAACCATGGCTGAATAAGCAACATATTACGAAAAGATTTAACAAGCAAGCTATATTCTACTGTTGTTCTGTTAGAGTTGATTGTAAGGATTTTAGTGTGCAAAAAAATCACCTCTCCCAAAAACCCGCTTTTTAACATATGTAAAGGGAGACATTATTTCCTACAAAATAAGGAATTAAAATGTTAAAGTTGTAGATTTAAATGGAATTATTTTTTATATATGTACAGAAAGAGATAATTAATTTTTTTTCCAGTCATTTCACCCCAAGCAAAGTGACAAAGCCACTAAAATGCAAAGGGTTACTGAGCATGAGAATCTAAGAAATATTGTTAAGGACAGAGGACAATAAAAAGAAAGGATTCAAGGAGACAGAAAAAGATGATTGACATTGGATTTAAATTTTTGAAGATCAAAGTTGACTAGAAAGTAAGAAGCCGGAAAGTAGTTTCACAACCAAAAAGTGTGAAAGAAGAAACTGTTAGCAAAGAATTTATGGTTTCATGTAGCAATTTCAACTGTAAAGTGATGAGACCTAACTGCCACTCTAGTACTGGCACAGGAAGGCTATGTTATGGCAGGAATTTAGAGAAAGTGACTAAAGTCAATGTAACATGCCTTCTGTGTTCTTTTTTTTTTAACAATTGTTTTTAGATTGTTTGAAGTGTCAGTAACAACAAAACTTAATTTCCTATATTTTATATATATATATATAGAGAGAGAGAGAAAATACTAACATTTTATATAAGTCGCATTACTGAAAACATCTCACTGTGAGAGAGACCCTGTATATAAAACATCTCATTCCCGATATGATTCTCACCTTATTAATCAATGAAAATGGTGTGTTGAAATTTTTTTAAAAAAAATAGAAAGACACTCACTCAAATTACAGCTGTGCCAACACTCAAAGCTGTTATTTTAAATACTAGTAGGGCATTCTCCTACTAGTATTTAAAACAACATACAAAAAGATACATCTTAAACAGTCAAACATGGATAGAAATTAACTCCTAACAACAAATCCCCCCTCCACCCCTGGCGCCACAAATGTCCAAAGTAGTGGGTGAAAGAGCTTGGTACAATGGACAATACAGACAAATTTTTGCACAACCTTACTCCCAAATGAAAAAAATTAAGAATGTTGGAAAAACTATAAAATATTCTTGTCTGTCATATTCAATGAAACATGTTTAAAAGAAAGGTTACTGTCCAAATATACATTTATATATATATATATATATATATATATATATAATGATTTCATGTAATACTCCTATAACACTGTAGAAAAGTTTTTTTTAAAAAGGTACCTGAACAAATTTAATTTTTATCTTAAATATATTTACTATTTTAGCAAGATTATGCTTCTTTTTTTTATTGTTTTTGCTTATTTCATTTACCAATTTTTTTAAATACCTTTTCAAGATATTTATTTCAGCATTTTATTTTAATTTATCTCTTGTATTTGAAGTTTTAAACATTATCTTTTTGTTTGTCCTAACAAAGGAGTTAATAAATAAATATATATATATATATATATATTTCCAATGTGTTGTAAAAATTTTTTTTAAAATTGAGTAGATAATAACTCTTTTCTTATTTCTTATCTTATCAGTTTTTGGTTAATGTTGTTGAATTAAAAAATGATTACAAATCAAAATGAAAGAATAAGAGGAGATAAAAATATAAAGCAAAGTTGCAAAAAGCAAATGGAACAAGTAAGAGTGAAGTAAAAAGTATGAAAAATAGATCAAGTAAGATGATAAAAAAAGGAACCATAGTCAAAGAGAAAAAGAAAGTGAAAAAAAAAAGTACAGGTTTTGTGTTTGGAGAA